ACCCCAACCAAAAAAAAAAAAAAAAAAAAGAAAAGAAAAGAATGGAAAGCATTATAGTGCATTTTGAATGGGTGAATTATACTGTATGTAAATTATACCTCAATAAACCTGTTTTTTACAAAATAAGTAATGGCTGAAAATTCCCTGAATTTGGAAAAATACATTAATTTACAGTTTCAAGAAGCACAGGAAACCTCAAACAGAATAAAATCAAAGAAAACCACTCCAAAATACATCTTAATTAAATTACTCTAAACAAACAAACAAAAGGGGTGGGGGAGGATTCTTGAAAGGACCAAGAGAAAAATAACATATGACATACAGGGGAATATGAAGGCCAGAAGACAGTAGAAGAACATCTACCTGAGATAAATAGAAGCTTACATTGAGACGCAAATTTATACATCAATGTTTATAGCAGCTTTATTCATAATTGTCATAAATTGGGAACAATCCAGATGTCCTTCAACTGGTGAGTGGATAAACAATAAATACTACTCATCTATAAAAAGAAGAGAACTACTGACACTTGCAAAATTATGGATGAATCTTTAAAGCAGTTTGCTAACTGAAAGAAGACAAATCCAAAAGGCTAAATATTGTACGATTCCATATATATAGACACTTTGAAAAACACAAAAATATAGAGAAAGAACTAAGATAAGTGGTTTCCAGGGACTTAAGGTAGATAAAGATCGCTCAGCAATAAAAAAGAATAATATATTGACGCACTCAACAACATGGATGAACCTCAAGTACATTATTGTAAATAAAAAGAAGCTAGATTCAAAAGGCTGTATATTATAGGATTCTATTTATATGACATTCTGGAAAAGGCAAAACTATAAGGGATGGAGAAGAGATTAGTGGTTGCCAGAGGTTAGGGCTAGGGGACAGGCTGACTACAAAGCAACACCAAATGGGAATGGTGTTGTGTGGTAGTGGGGGAAGGAGGGTGATGGAGCTACTCTTTATCTAGATTGCGGTAGTGGTTATATAACTCTATGCATTTTTCTAACCTAAGAACTGTACATGAAAACGTGGATTTTATTGTATATAAAATTTCACACCAATTTATTAAGTTTACTCAGCATCTTTCTTCTTTAAAAAAATCCAATGAAAACCAAATAAAGTCACCAATAATTATCTATCTATTTTGCTAATGGAGCAATATATCCTTATATTACTTGATTTCTCTGCAGCATGATACAGATCACCATTCTCCTATTTGAGTTTTTAGCTTCAATATATATCACACTCTCATTTTTTTTTACTCCAGTTTATTTTACTCCTCTTTTTCAATGTCCCTGAAACACTGCAACTCCTCAGGAAATAAATTAGGGTCACCTTCTCATCTCACTCCACATTGTTTCCCCAAGCAGCTAATTTACTGGCATGACTCACAGTCCGAATATATCCGGACTACTCTTCTGAGCTCCTAATCTCCATATATCCAACTGCATACTTGACATTTCCACTTGTTTATCTTGCATGTCTCTCAAAAACAACCACTACAAAAAGAAATTAGTAACCCTCCACCCCGCAAAATCTGTTCTTCCTTCAGGTTCCCCATTTGAATAAATGGCACCACCATCTACCATCTTACTTTAACAGATCAGATAGAAAATGCAGAATTTTTAGAAAAAGACGTTATAACAGATTTATCATAAACATAAAGAAAGAAGAACATTCAGCAAAACA